CAAGACTGTGAAGGATCATGGGGAGGTCCAGGTGGTGGGTGAGGGAGTACATGAAGGGATTGAAGATGTGGCTGTTTACTGTTACCAAATACTTAACATTTAACAGCCAGAACAGTTGTATCCATATACACCGGTATAGTGCTAGCCCTGGTTCCATACATTTTTAATAAGCTGAGTTCTGTGACAAAGTATTCTGATTAAGACAGGAGGGAGACAAGATAATGCCAATGTCATTCTGAATGAACACCAGGGGAGAAAGAAGATAAGAAAGAACAAACTAATATAAAAATTCTGTCCAGGAAAATATTCTTTCATGTTCCTCCTCTTCTTCCCAATCACAGGTCTCCCTGAACCCAGGACCCATAATCCACTGATATTTGCTCTTCATCAATCCACAGAGAACCAATTTGCCAAAAGCCCATGTGCTAAAGACTAAGCCAAGGTGGCTTAGACACTAAAGAATCTAACTGCAATTCAGGAGTCCCAGTCCAATTCCTCGGTCAGGAAAATCCCCTGGAGAAGGGAATGTCTACCCGCTCCAGTATTCTTACCTGGAGAATCCCATGGACAGAGGAGTCTGATGGGCTACAGTCCGTGGGGTTGCAAAGAGTCAGACACGAATGAGCAACTAACACTTTCATACGCTAAATGTCAGTCCACCTGAAACCCAATTCACTGGAGACCAATTTGTCAAATGTACCACATTCATTGGCTTTCTAAAAATCATTTTTAGAGTCTACAACGTTTTGAACGTGATGAACCAGAAGAGTTAAGAAGACTGTGGCGAACCAGGGACCCAGGGAGCTGGGGCTCCTGACTCTTCCTGCCTCAGTTCATCCTCTCTCTGCCCTGTAGGTTCCCTCTCTGCTCCTCGGAGCCTCCCAGTCTCCCTTACTCTAAAGCTGACAGCCTGGGCAAGTCTCACACTAACACACACAATCTATTCCTCCAGCCTTGAGAGGTCCTTCTTCTTTGCCCCAACTCTAACCTCCAGATGCAGCAGCCACACGCCAGGACAGAGATAAAATGAACATTCCTTAAAATGCTGACACTACAGAAATATTCATAAGCTATTAAAAACCATCCAATTAGAACTGTTATCAACATTTCAGTTAAACAAGTTTTTGATGACAGTGGGCAAAGTTAATTTGGCAAAGTTTAATCGGTAAAATTGGAAGTATCCTGAAAATGCTAAATGTAGGCAACTTTTTTTAAAAAGGCTTTAAAAAAGGATCTGAAAGACATCAGTATAAATAGAAAAATTCCCATAGGAAATGCTGAAATTTTGGCAGCACTCAGAAGAACATGTTGGTTAAATTTCCTTAGGATTTCTCAACAAATTGAACATTTCTTAAGATGCATGAAACTGGAGGGTATAAAGACAAAGGAATAAGCAGCTACCTCACCTAAACACACTTCACACCTTGGCCAACAAACAAGGAAATAAATGCAAAGCAAAACAAAGCAAATTGAATAAAATGGTCTCTTCACATTACAAGATTCCCATCTATACAAAACCATTGAGAAATCTGTGTGAGTTAACACTAACCTTTTGAAAGATAAACACCTAATTCAAGAAAAGCAAGATTTTCTAAGGGTGATCGGTGATTTTTTTTTTTAACTTTGTACACAGATAGATAATTTTCTTTGGAGACACCCAAAAACAATAAACATATATATATGTGGGAACATGTGTTTTAAGTTCTTAATATTTATCTTAGGAAGGAACTCAGACATAGTTCAACAGGAAATTTTAGAGGAAAAATGGCTACAAATCATGGTTTCAGCTATATATATTTTAAAGTGCCTAGCATATCTATTGATTTTTATAGATCAGATTACAACATAATAAACACTACTAAAATAAAAGTAGTTTTTAAAATAAGAGAAAAATATCTCGGAAAGAATTCTTTTTTTCTTACAACAAATGTGACAGAATGGCATTCTGGTATCCTAGAAAAGAAAAATGTACTAGCCCTCCAAATAGCATATAAAAAAATGTAATAAGGTTCCACATAAAAAACATTACGTATTTTATGGAACTAAACTTGAGATTAAAATTTTAATTTTGCATTATGAGAAAATGTGTACAGACTTCAATTTCATTCCTATAATAGCGGATCAATTCTTTCAAAAATTACAATTAAACTCCCCATTAACTCTCACACCATTCTGAACCAGAAGAGCTAGGAAAAAGACACTTTGAATGACGATATGCTCCTCTAATATATTATCTCTTATTCAGTTTCCACATGGCCTCCAAATAGCATTTGTTATTATACAGACAATATAACAAATATCCATATACCCATCATTCAAAATTTACAGATACTAACATTGTAATATTTACTTCTGATACTTTTTTAAAATAAAATACTTCTGATAAAGCTGCTGCCACACTTTATCTTCCTTAGACTCATTCTTCTCTTCTTTCAGAGGCAATACATTTAATATGTATTTCTCAAATCTATGTTTACATATCTTATTTTATATATATGTATCCACAAATACATAATATTATTTGTATTTGTGTGTGCTGTGCATTAAAAAAATAACATCATGTTTTCAAAATATGGTCATGTTCATACATACAAACCTAAGTCATTCATGTTAACTTCTATGTAGTATCTTGTGGCCATGATGTAGCCATTGTCGCACTGATGGACATTTTAGCTGTTTCCAATTTTTTGCGATCCGGAAAGGATCACTGAGTACACATCTTTGTATCCTTATATATATGCAGAAGAATGTATTCCTTGCAATGAAACTATTATGGTTGTAGGAATGAGGTATTACCTCATACCAGTCAGAACTGCCATCATTAAAAAAGTCTACAAATAATAAGCCCTGCAATCCCACTCCTAGGCATGTATCCAGGAAAGAAGAAAACTCTAACCAGAAAAGCTACACATACTCCAGTGTATCTGCTGCACTATTTACAATAGCCAAGACATGGAAGCAACACAAATGCCCATCAACAGATAATTGGTTTAAGATGTGTCATACACAAACACATACACACAATAGAATACCTGTGTACTCAAGAATCTTCACAGCTTCCAAGGGACATATTCTCTTTTTAAGAATGAAGGAAAATTCTCCCATTTTTGAGCTATTCTTTTATGTCAATTCTATAAAATCGCATGCAACTTTACAAATATTTTTAAAAGATATAGTTTTGTAAATATTTAATATCCTGCTAATTTGATTTTGAATTGTAAATGTCAAGTTTCTGTTTTGGGGGCTTTTATGTTTTACTATACTTTGTTAAAATGCAAAAATTATACATTTTTAGAATGTTTTTATGAGTAAATTTAATGTACTGTAAAAAAATTTTTTTAATGAAAAAAAGAATGAAATAATGTCATTGGCAGCAACATGAATGAACCTAGAGATGATCATACTAAGTGAAGTAAGTCTGACAGAGAAAGACAAATATCAAATGATATCACTTATAGGTGGTGTGTGTGTATATATATATACACACATACATATAATAAATGGAAACTAAGGCACACAGACGTTAAGTGACTTCCCAAGATCCCCAGTTAGTGGCAGAGAAAGGATCTGAACCAGGCAGACCAGCACCAGAGTCTTTGCTGCTAGTATTCGGCCCTCCTAATTCTTTACATTGCCTCTTGACAGGGCCTGTGTGATACATGCTGGGAACACTTGACAAAATATAGTTGATTTGGAAAAAGAAAGTTGTTAGGTTTTTTGTCTCTTTGTTTGCTTTTTTTTTGCCCATTAGCTGAGTATTTACCAAGTATCAGAACTGGGCTAAGCTCGCTCTCATATGATGTCTGTCACTTAATGCCGACAACCTATGAAGTAAGTAATATTCTAATCTGTGTATGTGGATCTAAGGCCCATAGCAGTTCCATAACATGCTTATGGTTACCAAAGAAAGGGGGTGGAGAGGAATAAACTAGGAGTATGGCATAATTTTCACAGATATAAACTACTATACATAAAATAAACAAAAGGTCCTACTGTATAGCACAGGGAACTATATTCAATATCTTATAATAACCTATAATGGAAAATAATCTGAAAAAAACACATAACTGAATCACTTTGCAGTACATCTGAGACTAAGTCAAATATTGTAAACCAACTATTCTTCAATAAAAACCCCAAACAACAACAAAAACCCAATAAAATAAAGGTGTTTCCTCCAGCCAGATCTTAAAAAAAAAAAAAGGCCAAGATTATAACACACTAAATAATAGCAGAATCCCAAGTTCATGGTGATATTTTTTAAAAAGGAGGAAATGACCTTTTCTCTACAGAAAAATGCCAGCTAATGAAGAAGCAATGATGGAATTCAAAAAATCACGATTTCAAAACTGCTTCAGTCAAAGATCAATGAATGCTAAAACCGCGGCATGAAAGGTTTTGGGAACAGTAATGGTCACGTGATCTCAAAGTATCACACCATAGATTACATACTAATTGTAAAGAGAAAAGGGTACCTTTATAAATTTGTCTTATTTTGGAGATGCTAGTTTCTCTTCATGTTTTGTCTGTTCAGGCCAGTCTCCTCTGATGCTCACATTGTTTGCCTATTTTTTCTACTAGCTTGTTTGTTTTACTAACTGAATTGTATAAAGTTATATACTTTGAACACTGTAATGCAAAATATCTTTACTGAGTATGAGACTTGTGTATGTCACTTTTTGTGGCAAATTTAATATATCTTTCCCTACCTCCAGGGTCTCAGAGATAGTCTCCCATATTTTCTCCTGAAGGCAAGAATTGTACTTGGCTTGTTTTTCTAAGGAGCTGAACAGTGAGCACTGATCTATTACTGTTGAAAAATACAAACCACTCCTGCAGCCTCCTTATATCGAAGTCATCCTTTAGTTCTCAAAACTTTTCCACCTTTACATGGAGACTCCTTTCAGTAGCATGAGCAATTAAAAATTGCTACTTAAAACAATATATGGTAAAGTCATAGTTTCATGGTATTAAAAAAATAGAAAAGAATATAATCTTACATGAGTGAACAACATTTCATCCCTGAGCTCTTCAGACCTTTCATTTGGAGTCCAAGCTTCAGCAAGCTGCAGGAAATCCCATTTTTCCTTATCACCCTCCTCGGCCTGAAGCTTTTCCTTCCTCCCATTCAGTGTGCTCCCTGTAACCTGAGCCTGTGAGATGGAAAAGCATACAGATTTTATGACAGGTTGCCTCACAGCTGACATTTACTAAGCAGTAACCTGGTTTTGCATTTAAGTCACAAGCAATCCAATAAAGAAAATCTTATTTTCTCAACATATCACGGGCTTTAGCGATCAAGAATCACTCAAGGTTCAAGAATCCTTTTGAGAAAGTGTATGTTCTCAGCTTACAAAAAGGACTTGAGGTTTGAAAATGTTTTGTTTCCTTACTAGCTCATCCTCCGCTGGCCTCTAAAATGGTAGAGAAGGACTTGGAAGACAATAGGAACCCATGTAAATTCATGTCCCTCTCTTATTACCAAGGACAGCAGGTAAAGTATTACCAACTGAAGCCTTTACTGGACTTGGTCTCTATCAACATCAACATCTTAGTGTACATATATATGATTTGCCTGAAAACACCAAACTCAGCCTCTTAACTCATACAAGCTATAGATAATTATGAGTACGCTGGTAACCTGGTTTAAATTCAAGCTTTACCTTACGATTCAACATTCCCCACATAAGGGTGTCTAGAGTCCCATTTGCAATAAGGTAATGAATATTCACAGAACTGCACTGTCCAATCCGGTGAGCACGGTCTTCTGCTTGTTTTATATGTCCAGGGTCCCAGTACAACTCAGCAAACACAACATGAGTTGCAGCAGTAAATGTCAAACCCTAAGAAAAATAAAGTGAAGAAAAAAAGTGAAACGTGAAAGTGTTAGACGCTCAGTTGTGTCCGACTCTTTGAGACTCCCTGGACTGTAGCCTGCCAGGTTCCTCTGTCCATAGAGTTCTCCAGGCAAGAATACTAGAGTGAGTAGCCATTCCCTTCTCCAGAGGATCTTCCTGACACAGGGATCAAACCTGGTCTCCTGCAGTGCAGTCAGATTCTACTGTCTGAGCCGCCAGGGAAGCCCAAAGTGAAGAAACTGAGATGCAAATGAACTGAGAATTTAACACAGAACCATGTATAACAAAGTCTTTCTGAGTATGTTCACTGGACAAGAGAACACAGAAGGACTTAAAAACAAATCAGTCTTTCATTTTAAGTCAAATTAAGAAAAGTTAATTCAGGTAAATGAAGACTGCTTACTGCAAATTAGTCAGGTGAACTACAAAGAACATGTTTAAAAGGTATTTCAGTATTTCTAAAGTCAGTCTGAAGAATGTATACATAAACAAAATCACTTTATCCTCTGATGTATACTGGGTTCACATTACCATTGAAAAATCTAATAAAATACATTATAAATGAGAATAATTCTAACACATGGTATCCATAGCAACTAGGCAGAGAGCAATGACATCCTCTATTCATTTAATTCATTCTGTTTTATAAAGCAAGAAAATCATGTCTACCGTCAAAGCCTTTTCTATCTATGGAATTTCTCATGTTGCTCCCAAAGACTCTGATGTTTACTGATTTGTATCTTGATGTATACAATACAGTTGCATTTTTGTGCAACTGTATTTTATATCAGTTTGAAACAATATGACATTAAAAGTATTAACTAGGTCTTGTTTTATAACTAATATATGAAATAATGCAAGTCTCTTCAAACTGTGTTAAAAAGTGCATGACTTTAAAGTGGGTAGGTCGAGCGAAATGTGGACCATGCTTATGTTATTGCCACACAGCTGTGGGTGGTATTACGTGGTCAATAGAAACACCTCCCGTACTGTGGGACTGTCATCTAATCCGTGGCTGTTGCTCACATACCCTGGAACTTCTGCGAGTGACTTTCATGGCTGCTGTGCTGCTTTGATGTTATGTTAACTTAAAGTATTTTAATATCACATAACAACATCATATTAGCATTCATTAAACAGTGGCACTCATTCTCAAGCTGAAGATCAACCACTTTGGAACAGAACTTAGAAGTAATAAAAGCATGGACAGAGTCAAATAAACACCATGTTAAACTGTGCTGCTATTTAGGATTTGAAACGCTGCAAAATATCAGAGATAATGCAAAAAAATTAAGTAGCATTTAAAGTAAAAAGTATCATAAAAGTGTAAAAAGTATCGTGCAACCATACAAGAAAAAAGGGGAAATACGTTGGCAAGATCAAATCACTCAAAGATGCTATTAATACTAAACTACAATGGAAGATTCAGAAACCTCCAGGATAAAGCCCTTTCTACTTTCCTTCTTTCTGATGAAGATTTTATTAATAGTATTCAAGGGTATTAAGTTTTGAATTATACAAGGCCTTCAGGAATACAGCCTTGAATAGAATGTGAGTGCCTTGTACAATCTTAATTTCAGAAAGTCTTTTACTAGGTCACTCCCAGACACTCCTGCTCAGATTCTTCCTACTTATCTTCTCCCAAGCTATTGGTACTCCATTTCAGCTCTTTTTGATAATATTTTCTATGGCTGAAATATTCTAACAGATATAAAACTCAGACTACTAGAAATTTAATCCAACATGAAAGTTTGGATCCAACATGAAATCCAACTCACTCCTAGTGAGTTCTAGAACTTCATCTTCATGGATTCTCTCTACATAGACAATTTTATATACATCAATTAGCTCACTAAAAGGAGAACTTTGGCCCCAGTCCAGATTCCAGAATCCACAGTTGTCAGATTTGCCATATACCAGGTTGGATATTTAACAACAATATGCTCAATTACTTTTCTCTCTGTTAAATATCCTGGCTTAGATATTTACATCAAAATATCCTAGAATGCTAGTAGGAAAAATGTTCATAAGTATACCCTTTTACAGTGGGTAGTACAGACCAATATCTATTCTTTTCTTACTCCTTTGTAACATAATACCTGATTGACCAATAAAGGCTACTGTTTCCAGTTTCATTTGAAGACAGTTGTGGTCCTGGGAATGACTGCAGGCCAGTGAGATGTAGCATGCCTTTCTCCATTCAGCTTCCTGGATCATAGATATGAACTCTAGCAGAACTCTTAGATAAGAGATACCTGTTAGGAGTGGTAAGCAGCCTTGGACTGTCTGTATCCAAGAGTAAAATTTTGTGTACTTAAATCATTGTTAATTTGGATTTTCATTTACTTGTAGCCAAACCTAACTCTAAGGAACAAACCAAGGGTATTCCACAAAAAATTCAGAAAGACAGGAGAGTTCTTTTTTCCTCAGGTCACCTTGCCTCACAGACTCTGATGAAAAAAACCAAGACAGATAAGTGCTGTAAGAAAGGGAAGACAAAATGCTATACAAAAGATCATGGGAAAGCGTTATAATGAAATTAACTTTACTTGCAGGATATTCTTTACTTGAAAATTTAAGAAGTTTATAATCAGAGGTGTTGAGGTCTCCTTCTGTTACACTTTCTAGCACTCTCCAAGGTGGAATGAGTATTTATCACACCAGATGGGAAGTTATAGTTAAGGTTAATGGCCTTTTTATTATCTCAACATTTCATTATCAAATTCAAATGTGAAACTTCTTACCTGACCAGCAGCCTGAATGCTGAGGATAGCTACACGAGTCTCAGGATCCTTTTGAAACTGATTAACCAGATGTATTCTTTCTGAAGATGGAACACTTCCGTCTATCCTGATGTAACGAGTCTACCATCAACAACAAGGGAAATGGCAAAATTAGGACAAGCTCCTATGTGCCCATCTTATTATATACATGTTACAGCTTATTTTTATGTTCACACAATAAAACAGAAACTGGTGAGAATGATAGGTTAGTAAAAGACTCTTAACCAGATTTCTTAATACCTGCTTATAAAAATTTCCTATTTTTAAATATTTTAAGATACTTGAGAGTGGTATCTATGTCTAATTCATCTTCATACCATCAATGCCAAGTGTGATGTCACAGATATAACAGGAGTTCCATAATCATACATGGATTATTGTCTTCAGTAATGTTCTAGGTAAAATGATATGCAAACTTTAAAAGATGGATCAGACTAATTTTAAAGTTACAGGACCACTAAATCCAAAGTGAAAATAAAGTCAGACATGTGAGAAAAAGTGGATTCAGCCCACGTATTTGAGATTTAGGAAGAGTAGTCCTGAAAATGTTGCAACATTAACAGGGAAAACATCTTTTTCAAAGTAGTATTTGAGTCCTTAATATTTTTCCCATTATTAAATTTAAAAGAAATATATCATCCGGTCATCTCCACTGAGGTAGGAACCAAGGCATCCAAACACATTTTTAAAAAAGAAGGAAATACTAAGTACTAAATTGAACCATGCTGTATTTTAGGAACAATGTGAGTTTAGAAAATATGAGCAATCAGTGTACGTCAGAATCATTTTTAAAAACTTATCACTCAAATTTGTAAAAACAGGCATAAGCCCTGAATTTCAAACTGTCTCATTTTTATATGCACTTTTTATGGAAAATATTGCCTTAAATACTTGAGACACAGTTTTATAAGGGAACCATCGAATTAATGATTTAATAGAATCTCCCTTATCAACTTTCTATGTCTTCATAAACAGATATAAATTGACCAGTGATCCATCAATGGAGACTATAAAATCTTCTGAGGGTCTTTCTAAAGAAAACATACTGTCAGGCAAAGGAGAGTTTGGGAGAAATTAACCTCCAACACCATGACTACCTACATTTTTAACTCTCGGTGGCATTAAACGCAATTCTAAACACACCAGTATAGTGGGAGCGGGAAGAAGAGACACACTTGGAATAGATTCCAATAGTTTTAAGGTATAACAGAATCAGAATTAAAAATCAAATATTGTTCAATCATTTAAAAATTATTTCTAAGGCTAATTAATTCTTCCTCAGAGGCTCTATCACAGATACTATATGATAATGAGGAAGCATCCCTTTAACATATAGCATTCATATATTATCATAAATCCATCTATGAAGGAAAGACTAGAATTATTCCTTTGGTAATGTTAATGACTAATTAGCAAATACTTGAAAAAAGTACACAAAGTTTTAAAAAACATGGCTTTATTCCTCCCTTTAAAAAAAAGCTACCTGCACCAGCAAGAGGTTCTGATATTACATGGATATTAAGCTCTTATAATTTGTCAGGAACTTCCTCTGGCTGATCCGGAGTATCTCAAGAAGGCCTTAGCACTGACAGAGGGGCGACAGGTTTAAACTTGGAAAGAAAAAACGGCAGATGCTGTTCTGATAGTGCTGTTGGGGAACAAGGCGGACCCAAAGGCCGTGAAGCCAGCAGGTTTCATGGTGCTTACCTGGGCATATGTTTCCGACTTGCTCACACTAAATCTTAATAAAATATTCTATAAAGTAGGCTGCCTAGATGTTTAAAAAGTATGACTGCAGCTGGGTAACAAAACTGTCTAAATTTATTCTTCCTTTCCCCTCAAAATCACCCACAGTCTAGGTCACCATGTGGGTAAACAATTTTAACTGCCTATTCCAATCTCAAATAGTATATCCAATAACAGAAACAAAATTCGCATGATAGCCTATCAAGGCAGCATAGTTTAATCCATCCATCCAATTTGATCAGTGGGGTATTATGACTGGTATAAAAGGGAAATATTAGTAGTATATTAGCAACACAATGGAAATATATTAGCGTCTATGTGCATGGTCAGTCGTGACCAACTCTGTGACCCCATGGACTGTAGCCCGCCAGGCTCCTCTGTCCATGGAACTTTCTAGGCCAAGAATACTGGAGTCAGGTTGCCATTTCCTACTGGGATCTTTCCAACACAGGGATCAAACCTGTGTCTCTTGCGTCTCCCGCATTGGCAGCAGGATTCTTTACCATTGTGGCCCCTGTTGATCCCAATATTAGTATAATTTTAAAAATATATACATTTGTATAATTTGCAATAAAATATGTAATAATAATTTATAGATATACATCCCATAATCTGAAGAAGGCAAAAAAAAAACCCCACCCCAATTATAAAAACTACAATTGATGTTTAGGATATAAAAACTGCATCCTAAGTCGTGTTTTATAAATAAATGGAAACCTACCTTGTTTTCTATAACTGCTTCTGTGCAAGCTTGGAGCATGCTTAAATGGTGAGCAAAAACCAGAAATTTAAGTGAATCATTCTGAAGCATCATCTTAATATAATCCTTTACAGCACCTGCCTAAATATAAAAAGTTAAACCTCATTAATGTCATAAAAATGTTTATAAGAAATCATGCCACTTTAACAAAGCAAGAAAAGCCTAAAAATCAGTAAGCTTCTATGAACTTTAACTGTTTTGTCCTCAAGGCAGCCTATAGTAGAAGCCCACACCTAAAGCGACACGTGAAAGAAGAGGAACATGAGAGGGGAAAAAAACTGAGAAGTAAAATAAGAACAAGATAAGAATTTAGATGGAAAAAAACAAGATAGGGAAGGAGTCTCAAAGCAAAGTGGGTAGTCAAGTAAGCCGTGGTGAGGAAGCAGTTGGTGGTTTTGTTCAGAAAGTAATTTTCAAAAATAAAAAAGCTCATATAGAGGAGTAAGTGGAATAGAGTGAAGGAGAAAATTGAAGATAAAAAGTCAAACAAATGGCATTCTGTGTGTGTGGGAGAGAAACTGAAAAAGAATAAGAAAACTGAGCTGAAGTTTAAGGGTTAAGGAGAGTGGTTTTTTCATTTAACTAAGAAACTAAGGTAGATTTACAAAAAGGCCGTGAAAGGTGTAGAAAGGCTGAGAAAAACGAGAAATGAGGGGCTTGTGCTTGCCTCCAGGATGGAGCAGGCTGCAGAAGAGGCTGGAGTGATGGCATTAAGAACGCAGTAGGGAGGTGAGAGAGAACACGGAGGGAGACAAAGAAACCGTGAGGCAGAAGGGAGAAATCAGGAAAGCTCGTACTGAATAGGCTTTCCTTAGCGAGCTAGGGGCCAGGTTACCGGTGAAGCATAAGAAATCAATATGGGAAGAGTTAAATAGGAGTTAAATTTAAAGTGGATAGCAAGAATTAAATTTAAAACACGAATACAGTATCTCTTAACTGTTAAAAAAAATTAGTCAGACATTTTGGGAAAAGACAGCAGGCTGAATATATTTAACCTCCACTCCTCAGTGCTATATTTAAATGACAGAAAAATGTATAGAGAAAAAGAGGTTGGAGAGGGATCAATAGCAACAAAACTTTGCAAGTGAAAAAGCAGACAGACGCCTGGTAACTGATTAGCCAATCTGACAGTACTTAAACTGCCAGTATGGAGTGAGTGTTGAGAAGTACCTGGTTTAAAAAGGTGTGATCAGAAAAGGATCAGGAAATGTCACCTCTGGAAGTGAGGATAGGGATGTGGCTAAAATTAGGAGGACTGTTTGAAAAAATGTTTAGGTAGCTGAATATGTGCCGTGCTGATCCACAGCCTTTCTCTACTCATTCCATAAGAGGTGACCTCCCAATTCATCCTGGAAGAAAACTATAAATTTGTTTTCTGGAGAGGGCAAAACAGAGGTTACCCAGATGGAGGGATCCTACAAAGATGGTAGGTCATCCTGCAAGAATCAAGGGGATTAGATGTAAGTTACATAACAAATGGTGAGATCTGAGCCTCTCTCTCCACTTTTTTTTTCTTTCCTAGGGTCCCCAAACAGAGACTGAGGCGAGGGAGAAGAATCATGTAACATGATTCTTTTCAGGAAAACCAGACCAGTAAAAAAAGATGAAAGATACTGATATTGGGGTTCCTCAACAAGACATCCCAATCAGATCACTTAATTATTATCCTTCAATAAACATGGAAACTCTACATATCCATGAAGAGTTCCTAGTTAGCGTTTAAAGTCTTGTAAATAAAAGCAAGCAAACAAAACCACCCACCAGACATTTGTGGAAAGCAACATGAATAGATCAACAATGCAGAGAGAGAAAAAAACCAAACTATAACAACAGGATACTACAAAAAATAAAAAGAGTAGGGGGAGTGGGGCAGAATTCTGTTGGAAATTGAAACTATAATAGCAGAAATGAAAAATCTACTGGTTACTAAGCTGAGGAAATCTTCCAGGAAGTAAATGGAAATATAAAATAATAACAGAGAAAATGGAAACTGGAAAATGCCCAATGAAGATCCTTCATAATGGGTGAAAATGGACCCAGGGCAAGGTCCATAATCATAAAATGTTAGGACAATGGGAACAAAGAGAACTCTACAAGTTTCTAGAGAGGGGAGGAACAGATTTCACAGAAACAAAACAGAATAAAAAATCTGAATGGCATTGCCTATCTCAACATCGGTACTGAATGAGAGAAAATGATTTCTAACTAACAATTCATATTCAGCCAAATTAAAAATCAGATATAAAAGTACAACAAAGGCATTTTCAGATATGCAGAGTTTCAAACAATTTACTGCCAACGTACCCTCTCTTGGAGGAAAACCGTACAGCAAAACAAGGGAATAGAAAAGTAAAGGAGTAATTCAGCACAAGGGAGAAATAAATAAAAATCCCTGATGAGAGTTTCACAGCAAACCTAAAGAAAAACTGTCCAGACTGCAGCTGATCAAATGCTACAGGAGAAATTTTGTTAAGTGGATAAATTGACGCCATGCTAACATTTAAAGATACTGAGAGGAGACTGGACAACTAAGATAAAGTTTGAGGCTGAATTAGTGAGAAATGAGTCATAAAAGAAAAAAAACATATCATAGTATACTGCATTGTTCATCTGTAAATATTATAAACATGGTTCTAATAATGTACAGGTTGAATATTGACCAAGCCAAAATTAGTATGAATTTACATAAAATTAGTAAAACTGTAACTTTCTCTCTATCTCTTCATCCATTTCTATCTATTGATCCATTAATCAATCTATCAATTTGTCTATCTCCCTATCTATCACTGTTTGAAGAATGGGAACAGGGGAAAGGTCTGGGCGTGCGGCTGGGGCTGAAGACTGAAAGAGCTAAAATTTTTATTTTAGATAGAATTTTATCTTCCATATAGAGAAACCAATTGATGACACCTAAAATTACAAAGCAAGCAGTAATACAAACCAAGAAGCAAGATAAACCCATTGCTGAGGGATCTAAGTAAATCCTTCAAAATCAGCTACAAGAAAAGACCATGGTTGCCTCCAGAGAATAAATTTAGGGGACTATTATTTTTTTCAAAATTTCTATTTCTCCTCATTAAATTATGATCATATGTAGCTTTGATAATAATTAAAAAGTTTTTAAATAGGAAACATTTTAGAACATTTTAAAATTGAAAACTACCAATTTAAAATTCATGCATATGACTATCAAGTCACAAGACTGATTCTCTCCAAGCTACATTTTGTACGTCTAAGTTTTCTAAAGACTAAAAATTCATACAATGAGACTGGAGGCTGTTAAGAACTTTAGCCTTGGATTTCAGTGCCTCAGAAAGTGGAAATGAAGCCCTCTCAAAATAAGGAGCTATAAATTCCAGATATGTTGCCATGGTAACTGAACCACTTTAATAAACTGCATGTTTGCCTAAAGAGCTATATTTACTGTGATAAGCCTTTCAAAAAGTACATGTCAAGTTGGAGTATTTTTAAGGTACATTCATTTACCAAGCACTGCAGACTTACAGACTAAATAATCACTGCACCCCTAGTCTCAGATGCATTCCCCACTTCTTCACAAGCAAGCTGTTTCTACCAGAGTCTCCTCCACTTCCATCACCCCCTCCTCAGTAGAACCAGAAACTGCTGTGCCAAAGCTCAAGCCCCTTTCCGTCTCTTCCTCCCAATCACAGGCTCAGAAAGGCTTACGGTTACTATTAATATTGTAAGTTCAATTATATAAAGTTCAATGGGCTAAACAGTCTCTTGGGACTAACCTGTTAGCTATCATTGTGATGTTGCTTCTGAGGAGAAAACGTGTTTGCAGAACCAAAAAATCTACACAGCAAAGGGACTTTGGGATTCTCTTAGGTTCTTAGGTTGGGGACTGCACAGGTTTGCATTTTAAAATGAACTATACATGCATTTTCCCTGTTCTGATTCTAGTCTGATTAAAAGCCACTGCAATGTCACATTTTAAGTTATCTGAATAGAAGTTTGCTTTTGAAGTATCTTAAGTGCATATTATATATGAACGGCAGGTCCTGTTAACGATCAGTGTTTTGGTCACACCGATTCAGGTTTTACAGAAGCTGTAGTGCTCACAATTTCATTTCATTTTACTAAAATTGGTCTGTTAGCAATGTGTCTGTGAGCCAAAGTTCTAATTGAAATAATTAATGAAGACTACATACTATGTCTCATTTAAGGAAATGAAGAAATAATGAGAATATGTTGTACGATTTATTTCTTAAATTTTTTTTTTCAGTGAATAGGTACACATCATAATTTTTGAAGTAAAAGTAAAGAAAAACCTACATTGCATTAAAAAGCTGAGGAAAGTTACTTTAAGTTGTCAGTCTTTAATCAAATAATAAGAGGGGAAAAGAGCAAAAAAACACCAAATTTGAGCTATGACAAAGACTTTCTCCTTGACCAAACTTCAGTTACATTCCTCTTAGCCCTCTTCTTAACTAGGCCTCAATTTTGGCCTTCCAAGTCTTTCTTGCCCTTTCCAGGTCCAATTTTAGCAAGAATCCTGCTAAGTCAATTTATCAAGAATGCCCCCACTCTTTTTTTTTTTTCTTTTCTTTTTTTTAAAATTAATTAATTAATTAATTTATTTATTTATTTTTATCACAACCATAGTGTATCTTTTTTTTTTTTTTTACATGTATTCCCCATCCCGGTCCCCCCTCCCACCTCCCTCTCCACCCAATCCCTCTGGGTCTTCCCAGTGCACCAGGCCCGAGCACTTGTCTCATGCACCCAACCTGGGCTGGTGAACTGTTTCACCCTAGATAATATACGTGTTTCAATGCTGTTCTCTTGAAACATCCCACCCTCGCCTTCTCCCAGAGTCCACAAGTCTGTTCTATACATAGGAGTCTCTTTTTCTGTTTTGCACATAGGGTTATCGTTACCATCTTTCTAAATTCCATATATATGTGTTAGTATACTGTAATGGTCTTTATCTTTCTGGCTTACTTCGCTCTGTATAATGGGCTCCAGTTTCATCCATCTCATTAGAACTGATTCAAATGAATTCTTTTTAATGGCTGAGTAATATTCCATGGTGTATATGTACCACAGCTTCCTCATCC